GCAGCCATTGAAGTTGTTAGCGGCAAAGGTAGCTCCTGTTTGTGTCGTGGATATGCCGATAACAGAGATTGGCTGCAAGTTCCTGAATGACCGGTATTCAAAATGTGACCACTGCTGTGTGTATTAAGCTTTAAATTGACGGTTTGGTGTTGTTGTTGTTGCTGTTGCTGTTGCTGCTGCGGATTCATTGTCACATCTATGTTATTTGAGATATTGTTTGCTACTGTGCTATGATTGCCATATAAGCTCTCATTTGTTTGTAGCTGTGTCCGGTGTTGGTGTTGTTGCTGTTGTGATTGTTTCACAAGATTTGTGGCATCTAGTGGCACTGGTGATGTGGGTGATTGTTTGATTATTGTCGTCGTTGTTGTCGTTGCTGAAGTTGCATTGTTGCTCTCACAATTTCTATGCATTGAACTACTTAAATATCTATTAGTGCTATGAGTGCTGCTGCTGTTAGTGCCTTTTTTTTCCATTATGACACCACCACCAACAACACCACCACCATCACTGGTCTCTTCCATTGCCACATTCGCTAACCGTGCACTATTATCATTGCTAGCTGAGGTGCTAGCACCACCAGCTGTATTGTTAATGTTATTGTTGCTGACGCTACTACTGCTGTTATTGGTATTACTGAATTCATTAAGTGTTGTTAATGTGCTGCTCATGGGGAGTTCATGCTATTCTTTTATTAAGCGATAAATATGATGAGTGGCGCCGCTATTTTGTGCAGCCACCTCAAATACGTACGCTATGCAGAGGAGTGTTTCTTGTGTTTCGCGGGCTTGAATAACCTGCAGAGAAACAAGTAAAATAAAAAAAAAAAAAAAAAAAAAAAAAAACAAGATAAAAAAAGGAAATAAAAAGAAATATTAATAACATTTTTTTTTATCGTCATAAATTAGAAAAGTTCATCTTACTTGTAATATTGTAAAGTTCTCCAAAACACTGTTCATCATATAACGTTCAGGTAGATTCTTTAGCTTTTGTATAAAATTGATCATATATTCACACATGGGTGAACGATCGATACGATAAACGAAACGACCATTTTCTAAGCGTGAAAATTCTGTTTCCACTTTCTCCACCACTTGTGAACCGAATGAGCAGACCTTGGTTGAACATACTAAAACAACATTTTCATTGCTTTCATATCTAAGGTATGGAAAAATGTTTAAATATTTTAAATGAAGGATCACGGTTAAAAAAATTGCTTTACGACTTACTGGCTGGTTACACCATAAAAGTCGCCGGTATCACTACCACTTATTTCGGTATTTAAATCAGCCCAGCACTTAACCAAATAGAAAGCATTTTGTGGACCTTTCTCATAGAGATCTTTTAAACCGCCCGATTTTTCAGGAAATTTATCGAAAATTTGTCGTATATCAACAGTCTAGATAAGTGAAGAAAATTACAACAAAATTACGTATAATAAAATTGAAATGCCCACCTCAAGTAACGGATCCGAAAATGAAGGTTTGCCGCCCAATTGTACAAATAAATGCCGGTGGTACTGTTGATAAAAGAATTTTATAAATCACAAACATACACACACACATACACGCGCGCGCAAACGCACATATACATGAGCAAGGATAAATGGACACTAAACTTACAATGTCTTCACGGCGGATCTCCATGAACGCTGAAAACTCTAATAATCTAAATTTATGGGTAGCTATCGCTCGTCCTTCCCATGGTAGCTGCGCTGGTGGAAGACCCGCTTCAATATCGCCAGATACAGCTGTGGATGGTTTACCGGCAGGGTAGGCTTGTTGGGCGAACGGTTTGATACTGTAATCATATAAACTTTGAGGGTCAATGCAATCAGATAGTGTTAATTGGGTCCTTTAAATATTCTCTACAATCACTTACTCTTGCGAACTGCTCGGCTGTAGACCCGGTTGCCAAAATTGCTGTAGATATAATAAAATAAATAAATGTAAATAAATTAATAAATTCAATTCCAGTGTAAGTGCTTAATGAAAAAAATTAAAAAGTGATTTTACAGCCATTGTGTTTGTGAGAAAAAGCAAGTTTTTATTGTTTTTATTTTGCGTTAAAATGATAAAAACCAATATAACGAGTTTAGTATTTTATTTAAATAATTTCAATGTCTTCGATACGAGCCAACTTTCGTTTAGCCTGGTAGTTACTCAGAAAAAAAAAAAAAAAAAAAAAAAAAACAAAAGCACAAAAAAAGAAGTTTGGGTACTAGTAGTTGCGAGCGATGTATTAGTTTCAGGCCCCGAGAAAATCTTAAAAGTTTTTTTTCAAAATAAAAAAATTCAAAAAACGTTTTCAATTTCTTTACAAGCATCCGTAACGATTTTAAAAAGTTTTATGGAAAACATTTCTGGGTTTGTGTTTTAAACTTAAAAATTTAAGTTTTATACTCTGTACTAGTACGAGCGGCCCAAAGGTATATTAAGTTTGTGCGGATGTATGCAAAATCACTTTCTTCATCGATCTAAGTTTGTCGGTCCATCCGTCTTTCTCTCCTATTTTCTACTTTCAAGTTAAAGGTCGCAATATTTAAAATATTTTGACAAAGTGTTTTAGTCCAGGGTCGAACACTTTTGAAAATGACTCGGATTGGACCACTTTTTCGACCACTGTCCGTAGAATGCCTTATTTTAAAAAGTCATTATATTAATAGCTGTAGCATGACATAGAACATTTAATGGTGGGCCGTATACACTATAGTTTCTTTACTTCTTTTTTTTTTTTATATTTTCTAAAAGCTTCTTTGAAACAAATCTTTGAAGTCATTCTATGTATCAAAGCTGTGCTCGATGTATATTGAAGAACAAAAAAAATCAAATTTTTTTATAAATAAACATTTGGACCGCCCACTTTCAACGTTGACTTTTGGCGCCGATGGGTCGACGGTCGCATTTAAAAGTCTTTAAGAGACTTGATTTTTGCAATATCTCTCACAATTTTTGGTAAATAATTATGTTCTTACTAGCGAGCAAACTTTTACTTTTCTGTTAGGATGTAACGGTTCCACAGCAGCGATTTTTGCTTTCTTGTAAATTGCATGAAATGAATTAACGATTGTTATCGATAACACACAAATAATGAAAAACTTCTCGCTATAAAAACGTGCGGACTCTTTTGTAAGCGTACACGATATGTTTCCCCCATCGCCAAATGTTCGCGGGTTATCGAATATATGCTAATAATTTCATCATTCAATTTCATCATAAGTCATCCGGCACTATTGCTTGATCGGTTAACGTATGGCATCACAAACAATGAACTAGAGGGAAGACTAGAGGGAATTTATTTACAATGTCGATGGAAGGAGATCTGCGCATTAATTTTAAGACCGTCAAGGGTTAACTTCAATTTTTGGTCCAAGGGAATTTTCAACTAAATCAAATTAAAAAAAAAAATTGCCCTTGAAGGCATATACACCGTAAAAGATGTCAAACTCTGCAGTAGAGACGACTAGCGATCCAAGTCTATTGTTTACTAAAAAATTCTTTTTGAGATTTTCTTTATGAGATTTATAAAAAATATATTGTTGTGGACAAATTGATTTGAACGTGAACTACATCGCTTTCGTTTTCGTTTTCGCTTTTGTTTGTTTTGTTTTATTTTTTGCGTTTTCCTACGCTGACTGCTTGCGGAGGGGCAAGCTTGAAATTTCATTTAAGATTTCATTTCAATATAATAACATCAATACGAAGCATATAAATTAGTTGAAACAATCGCGTTAACACGATTACAATAACGATGTAATATGCCTATGTTAGATAAAAGAGCAATACAGGCACGCACGCACACATACAATAAAAAAAAGATATATAGACTACAAGACAATCTTACGGCCGTGTATAAAGGTAGAGACGACCCCACCGTTGCCGAACTTGAGGCAGATGCTGAAACGGCCAATTGTTGTTGATGCTGTTGCAAGTACGTAGACGTAGAATTTAGGGTAGTAGCTGTTGTTGTATAGCGCGATGTGTTCGTTACTATACTTTGCTGTTGTAAACTTTGTGCAGACGTCAAACTTAGGTCGGATTTCAAAGTATTGGTTGAGTTGGCGGCGGTCGTGTTCGTTGTGTGATTGTGATGTGAATGGTAAGCATGGTGGTGGTGGTGGTGGTGGTGGTGTGGAGGTGGTGGTGGTGGTGGTGGTAGTGGTGGTAGTGGTGGTGGTGGTGGTGGTGGTGGTGGTGGCGGTGGTGGCGGTGGTGGTGGTGGTGCATGGTGGTGGTGATGGTGATGGTGGTGGTGGTGTGAGTGTGGGTGCACAGGGTGATGATGTAGACCCGTTAAAGCAGATGCAGCCAAAGCAAGATTTTTTACCGCTTGTGCCGAAACTATCTGTGAACTGGTCATGCCAGCCATTGCTTGTAAAGCTTTCTCCTTCTCGCTGAGTAAATGCAAAGCTGCAGCATTATTTGGCCCTGCACCACCTATGATCCCATTAGGTTCCTGTAAGAAGATCAAGATGTAAAACAATAGATGCGTGTGCACCATGTAGTGTCTGTTAAGTGGTTTCTTGTTTCTGGCTGCTAGAGGGTAAATATGATGAAGAGTGGCTGGCGATGATGATAATAATGATGATGTTTGAAGTGAAGTGTTACCAAGTGTTAAAGTAGGGATGTGTGAGATTCAAGTTGTTGGATAATGAGGTAAACGCAGCTCTATACAGTTTTGCTCCATTTCACTTTAAAAGGAGAAAACGATCGCTTTGCTTTTATGTTTTAGCATTAAAATGAGGTGAACATGTTCATTTCTTATGTACAAATGCATACGTACACACATACGGCATTATCTTGACAGATTACAACAAATATATCACAAATTTATTTACAAAACATTCTTTTGGTTTTTATATTAAAACAAATGCTTTAATTGAAATATCAAATAACTGATACCTGTCTATACATGCACACACCCACACCCACACTCACACACACACACACATTTGTACAGATCTACTTTATGTATAAATATACAAACGTTCGTCCACTCACGTGGAAGAAGGAATCTCTTCTTGTTTCTCTGGTGTGTTTAATAAACATTTTTTTTTTTTTTTTTTTGCGCTGCATTCCAGTTCAAGGATACTAAAAAATGCAATTGTATTGAGATTCCTTTGTTTCTTGTCTTCAAAAATAATAGCAAAACTTCTTGTCTTTCTCGTAGAATGTGTTTTCTGTTTGCTCTTCATCACAAGGATGCTATCAGAGGTCTCTGCGAGCGACAATAGAATAAGAAGATGATGACCCACATACTAATACAAAATATTTCCTTTTTCGTTTTGATATGATTGCACTGTTCTACATATGTATTTGTATCCATAAGTGCGCTTACGATGTTGATGATGTCTGTCTCGAGTTTTTCTAAACTTGCAAATAAAATGGAAAATAGAAAACAAAAAAAAAGGGAAACGCAAGAATTCACAAAATTTTGGTTTTCACAAGACTCAGATCGTTTCGAAGGAACATAACTAACAGTTTACATATGTGTATCTGTGTATGGATTGTGTGCGCGTAACGGTCAAAATCAATGTCATGCCATTAAACACGTATTGATTTAGAGGAGGTTAGCAGAACACGGTATTTAAAGTTCGCACTGACTTTAGCTGTACATTCTGACGACTAAAGGGTTTGTAAAATGTTTATAAAGAATGTCTCCAGTAAAAGAAGTGGGTGGGGGGTTGGTGTAGTTTGCAAAGTTTACCTATTAAAAGTATTTCTTTTTGTGTTTATTTTATGTCATGATTTATGAATTTTTCCTTTTTTTTTTTTTTAGTGACTATGCCGACCCAATGCCTCTAGCAGTGCTTTATATGCGTGAATATGTAAAATATACACTTATGTGAAATTTTATGTAAAAATCCTGTCAAAGGTATACAATACAAAACACGTAAAAGTTATACACATATGTATGAATTTACATAGTTAGGTGTGCATGTACGTACGTATGAACACATGTATCTACTTTGAAAAAAAAAAAAAGTAAAAAACGCTTTTCATACTCTTTGCTATATAAAAAAAAAAAAAAAGTTCGCCATTTTTTTTTTTTTTTTTTCCTTTTTTTTTTTTTTTTTTTTTTTGCAATCCCAGAGAAGAAGCTAACATTGATATTGCATTTGTAACATTCAGATATATGCGGTAAAAACCCCCTTGTAATGATTGATCTGAGAAACAGTTTGATCGTGTTGCATACCACATACCATAAATACTACGCTTGCTTTAGTTAATTTTTCGAGAAAACAGTCCGAAAATACTTTTCCCCGCTCCTAATATTCTGGCTTAGTGTTTTATCTTTTAACGCGTCTCCTTGTTTCCTTCCTTCCCTTACTATATTCCATATATAGACGATTTTACGTTAAGAGCATTATCTAATTCACATATCATTGATCTTCACATTGCTTGCGTCTCTGTACATTGTGCCATACAAATCAATTAATTAGTCGATGAGTTAGTAAAATTAACTTTTGCCAACGGAGGTCTAGTGGCAGCCCCTTAATTAACTTTTACGAATTATACGCGAGGAATCTAAATGAAAATTTCAACCTTGAATATTTTCCGTATGTACGAAGCAAAAAACAGTCTTTCATCGGGTTATAACATATGAAGGCTCTTAATCGGTTAATTAGTGGCCGTACATGTGTTTAGGACGCAAAATGCCGGACCCTTCTGTCCGCATCTTCCGCTGTCCTAGATTCGACTCTTATAAAAACAGACGTCATATTTTCCCAAAATTTCATTCGCTAATAATCTTGCTTAAGATACGTCTTATCGAAACTCTCAAGCAACAAAAGCTGCGTCTTTGAAACTAACTAAAATCAATCATCGATTTAATCGAATTTCTCATTTTGCAGTCATATGAACGCGTTCTGTCAAAAATGGTAGTAAAGTACATTAAATCTTTTTCTTTTTCTCAAAATAAGCCGTTCGTACGGCTATCATTTCAACTTAAATACGTCAAAATCGGATCTGATAAAGACTCAAATGGTGAAGACAGTGTTGGGCTAAAAACAGTGTGAACTATATCCTAGCAATACAGTTACACCACTCGCCACCCTTAAATATCTTACACTAATTTGCATAATACTTTTATTCATGCAACGATTTTTTAAGTAAATACGTTATGGGGGAAGTGGCGGAAAACGTGCTCCGATTCGTATCATTTTTAAAAGCATTCGTCCCTGGACCCAGAACACGTAGGTGTACCAACTTTCATCAAAATATCGCAAAAATTGCTCCCTTTAGGTTGAACACAAAGTTACAAGACAGATAGAAAAGCTCAGATGGAATCAGAAGCGACTTCTACAAACAAAAATGATCGAGAAATGGAAACTACCAGTGTACGTAACGATTAAATTCGCCGATTGTGACCTATCTCTACCTACAATAACAGTTTCCAACTTAGTATTATTGAGATATTCAGTGTTTACAGACGCTAATCATGGAACTGTTATTGTTCGTCCATCAAATAGCTTACAGCGAGAACCTTATCGCGGTGCTGGTCCATCATATCCAAATGACAAAGAACGGCCCGAGAGGACAAAAAAATTCGAGGGCAATGAATTGCAAACTCAAATTCTCCAAGAACTTTCAAAGAGCTTAGCAGTTGATGAATTAACAGTTTCTAGACTTTGACATGCGATGGGAACGACCCAAAAGGCGGACAAATGGCTGCCATTTCGAATGGTTTCTACTGCGCCCCAAGTCCCAAGCGCAAAAAGCTGTGGGAGAGGCCAGGAGAGCCATCCACATTGACACCCAAGCGGACCTTTTCACGGTTATAAAGTTCTACTACGCATATGTTAGGATCAGCAAAGTGTACTATATTATGAGCTGCTAAAGCCGAATGAGACTGTTACTGCAGACCTTTACCGACGTCAATTGAACAATGTGTTGTTGCAAAAACGAACAGCAATAGCGGCCAAGAAACGCCATTCATTCTCTTGTATGACAACGCTCGGCTATACGTTGAAGGAGTTGTCTAGGATCGCAGCTTGAATGGGATGTTCTATCACACCCGGCGTACTCACCAGACATGGCCTCTTATGATTACCACTTGTTCACATCGATGCACCTTGACGGTTTCGCAAAGTTGAAGAAGTCGCTGCCAAAGCAATATCGTTCCTTCGACGCGGTGTCGCCGTAGTGCCAGAAAGGTGGGAAAAAGTGGCAAGTAAGCGTCAGTGTGTGTATGTGTGTGGAAAGTATTTTTATATATATTATTGTAGATCGTACCAATATTTCTCAATAATTGTTTCTTTTTTTTTTTTCAAGATTAATACGAGCACCTGATAAATACGCCTTAAGCAACTTGCGTTTGACAAAAGCAAAAAATTCGCGGGAATTTCAACAGATAAAATTATTAACAATCAGGGACAAGCTTATAATATATGTATACAAGCTGCAAGCAACAGCAAGCGACACGAACGTGCCCGGAGAAATATGTATACAAATTTGTAAAATTAGGAAAACTTATTTTGCTCAACGATATTAATAAGAAGTTGAATAAATGGTTTTTAAGAGTTGAATAAATGGTTCGACATGCAATCCAAGTTAAGTTAAAATTTGGGATATAAACGTAGTGTTTAATGGGATTTAACTAAGAGTGATGTCTGTTTTCAGCGACTACAGATCTTCGAAGAGAAGAAGAAGAAGAAGAATTGCCGGTTTAATTATAAGTAAAGAAAAATTCAAAATTATCAAATTTTCCATTTCTAAGGTCCATCAGATAGGCCAAAGTGTATATATATATATATATATATAGGCACCGTGATGGTCAGGAATGATGAAAGCTGCAGCAGATGGCAAATTCCACTTGTACAAATGTATATATAATTTTTTTACTAGTCACCCAATTGTTTGATTGAAATGACTGCTGCGAATACTAGCAATGAAATTTCTGTCTTAGAACGTTTCCAAATGTCAACTCAAGAAGAGTGCGGATTCGTAGATGTCAACACTCTTGACAGACTTTTGCGATTTCTGAATAGCATTCACCTTCAAACCGTACATATCAAAAGGTCATGACATTTCCACCATTAGTTTACCTGTTACAGTTGTTTTAGTGGCACTGCCGTCCATTCGGCAGAATGCTGCTAATTGGACTCTGGAGTGTGGTAGTAAATCCATGTTTTATTTGTCGTTGCGTATCGCATAAAAAAATCTATTCTATTTCGCCTAAACACCGCCCAACACCGCTCCAAATCGTCAACACATCTTTTCGAAAAGCAAGCAAACGCGGCGCTCACTTCGAACGCCGCTTTTTCATGGAAATTTACTTATGTAAAATAGTAAATAGTAAGATTGATTGTGAACGTCAAGAAGTAACGTTTGATTAGCCAAATGAAATTCAAATTTTTCGATGGCTTTGGACATACGAAACAACTCTAGCTTTATAGCTCATCGTCAGAATGTCATGAAATCTTGACATGTACCGTTTAAAGTTTGGCATAATCTGGAAATCATGTAGTATTCCTTTGATTATTGCTTGTTGCTGTATGTTGCATGATAGTAACCAAGTGTTTCGGTTCTAACCGGCAGGTAGGCAGAGATTGCGTTTTTTATACAGGTATTCTTATGTTTTATTTTGTTTAGTTTTTTCTTTTAATTTTTATTTTCTCTTTCACTTTGGCGTTGCTCTAAGCTCACCCGTTTTTTTATAAAGTGGATCCATACAAAGGTATGTGTACGTCAGTGTACCAGTTTAAGGGCAAAGAATCCTGTTTAAAATGAAACGTATTGTATAAAAGTTCACAAGATCTTTGCTTTAGTTTAGTTTCTTTTTATTTATTTTTTTTCTTTTTTTTTCACATTTTTTGTATAATCTCGCATTTCGGTCACCTAAAAGCTAAAAGTATGCTAATCCTGTTACGTTGTTTGTATAAGATTTGTACATATACCACATACTTGCTTAGCGTCAGTTAGATCAGTTCACAAATCTTTGATTTTTTTTTTTTTGATATACGTTAGAAAAAGACTGCAAACTTGCTAAAGATTATATTGAATAATGCCGTCGCCTGAATCCATCCATTCATTCCTTGGTTGGTATGTCAATCAGTTATGGGAACTTATGCATATCTGACTAATATATTGTCAAAGACATCGGCCGCTTAAAAATTGACCGCTTTCACGGCATTGTTAATGTTTGCAATTTATAATGAATGCGGATTTCAAGTTTGTTTTAGGACAATGAATATTAATTAACAATTGCAAAAAAAAAAAAAAAAAAAAAAAAAAAATAAATAAATAAAAACAACTTTAGACAGATGTTCCCACAATTATGGCAAATTTAAGATGACGGGTATCCAAGCTTCGTTTCAATATGATTGCAGCTTTTCTTGTTCTTCCTCTCTCTTTATAACATACTGTATAGCACAGCTATGTGCTCATACATTCACACGCACATCCATACACACAATGCTTTCTAATATTTTTACTTTATGTTGGTAAAATGTCAAAGAAAGTAACTTAAGTGTTTTTTTTTCTTCTTCTTCTTCTGCAATTTTTTTTGCTTTTTCTCTGTAATTTTTTTTCTATTTACGAAAAAAAGGATGCGGAACTTTATATAAGTTGCAATTTTCTAAAGTCTTTTGTAAAACTAAAATTAAAAGAAAAAACTAACAATTGTACTGACGTTCATATATACATATAAACCTCTTCGTTTTAAATGAATTCCCGGCCTTCCAAAAAAAAAAATACAAGAATTCTTTTAATAATTAATTGCTCTAATATACAACTTGCTTTTTCTCTTTATAACAAAAAATAAAAATAAAAAGAAGAGAAAAAAAAATTTTACTTGAAATTAAATAAATAAACAAACGGAAAAATGACTTTTATGATGTTAATGATTAAAGCATGAAATTATTCATTATTATTATTATTACTATTTTTTGTGTTGTTTTTTTTGTTTTTTTCTTTTTCTTACATAGATGTTATATTAAGTAAAATAATCACACAATAGAACAAAATCCAAAATATATGTATACTGGTAGGGTGCATATTTTGAAAACTTACGACTTTTAGTTTTGCTTGAATTTCACGTAATTTTCTCCGAGCCAAGACCTGTATGTGAGAACTGACTTGTTTGCGAGTTCTCGTTTTGCCGGTACGTAATTTTATATAACGGGCGATAAGTTCGTTGCGACCTGAAAAACAGAATTGAATAAAAAAATGTACTTTTAAAACCGATCTATTACGATTAATAATTGTAGGCAAGCAGGCTGACTGCCTTCGAGCATATGTTCTATGCCACTTGTGCTCAGAATATATCAATCATTTTGGAAAAAGGGGGCACAAGAGGATCTAATAAAATATTGTCGCTGTAAGTTAAAAAAATGTTGCGCATTTGCGGACTGTAAGCTGTATCTTCTGCCGGTTACTCAATGACTGCTTTCCTCATAGAGCATCAGAGCAATATATCGTTAGATGTTCTTCTTTTTCAAGAAGGCCGAGATGCTCAACAGTTGAACTACTATTGAGGTGCTATGGCGCTATGAGTTTATGAAGCAATAGTTGGGCTTAGAATAGGGTAAACATTGGGCTTTGTCGATATTTTCTCCTCAATCCGTCAACACCTGCGTAGTGATAGATAGAATGAAGTTGATCTACAATTGTATAGAATATCCAAACGTAACGTATGATTATATTCTAAGCCTTTATAAGATAATTGAAAGGTACGGTAAGGATATAAGGAGTTCACGGAGAATTGGCTCTGTCCAGATGTCTTGGAGCGGCCCTTCGAACAGTTTTGTGGTGGCATCAAATATTTGAGATATTCGCGAGTTTCCTTCAGAGGACGGAACACAGTCCATGCACATTACAATGTTTTTCTTAAGAGATAGTGGGGCCCATAAATGGCGGAAATTGGTCTGGTCCTTGAGAGGCCATAGTTAAAGCTTTAAATTACTCCGTGTTCCACCGTGTATCATGGCAGTAACCATTCATATGCGCCTCTCCAAGCTACACCCTAAGATATATGTTTTTCGGCTTTAATGATTATATCATTAAATGCTTTAATAATTCGACTTCTAGAAACTTTAGTAATTTTAGGAAGCGGACAAAAAGTATACTTCAATTTTCTTCGCTACTTCGAAAGAAATATAGAAAGTGCTATTACCTTGCCTCGTTTTAGATGATTTTTAATGGCGACGAGTGCCAGGATCGTAGGAAAAATTAAGGAGCGGACGCTCACAATTTCTTCGAGTTTTAAAGAGTTAAAAAAATTGCATTCTTTTTAAATTTTCCATTTTGCTCAGTTACCCGGGATATCTCCCATATATCTGTGGGCAAGGTATTGAGTATAGTGGGAGAAAAAAAGGGTAGAGCATTTGTGTACGCTTGACTTGGAGGTGCCAATTATAAAATAAAGTTTTAGTCAGACTCACGTAGCCACGAAGAGGTGCCGTAAGTCGAATGCACCATTTTAAAAATGTTCTTCTTTTTACTTTCGAAAGCACTTTGTATATATATATATACTTTAATGAGTAAATACGATATTTATATAAAAATATTTTGAATTTTATAAAAATCGTAACAAGCTTTTCGGGTACCTAATAATTTCTTACTTGGTTTAAATATGTATTAAAGAAATTAATATAAGAAGTAAATTTACATAATAACCACTCCTCAGATTAAACCGTCGTGCACATACCAATATATACGCGTATACGTTCTTGAATATTCTTTATTCAAAGGAAATTTAAGTTAACTTTGTGCAGAAATTGTAGTCATTTGCATAAATTATGCAATTCGTAATGTACGCGAGTATGCGTGTATAATACATTTTATATATCTTCGTAGAATAGAGTAGAGCAGAGCAGAGTAGAGCCTAGTGTCTTTAGTATTTATGTAAAATATCCGTTTTCCATTCTCTGTTAATAGAATTGAAGACAGAATTTTTAGATGAGCTTTTATTTACATACATACACACATACATACAAACATACATACATACATACGTATGTAAACATAAAAACTAAAACAAAGGCACACACATACACACACACACACACACACACACACACACACACACACACACACACA